TCCACAAATCACTTCCCGGCCCTCTCACAAAGACAACAAGGTTGTAAGTACTACTATTATGTCTATTTTACAGATGAACAACTTGAGTCTTAGAGGTCACACAACTAATTAGTAACAAGGCTAGATGACTAACACCAAAGTCCCTGCTCCTAAATACTGTGTTCTCTTTCTTCCCATTCTGAGATATCAACAGGAGAGCATAGATATGCTGTCAGTAAATTAAAAAGTAACTCTGGACAGACAAAGAAAAATACCTTCCCATAATTGTCTCTAATCCCAACTTTTGCCTTCAAACTACTAAAACATAAATGGATGAATTAGACATACAATTTATTCCCTTTTCTTTACCTTAATTCTTAGTTGTTTGAATTGAAGTGAAAATAGGCAGCATGAATGAAATTTTAAAAGGGTCTGGCCAATCCACAAAGAAGACTCTAAAACTTGGAAAAGAGTTAACGATATCTGGCTCCTAAAAACAGTACATAACACAGGAGTAAACAAACCAATGTAGATTGTTAGCGCTGAGATTTACCACCCTGTACTATACTCCAACCCTCATGTGTTTCAGAAGAATATGCTTTGCCCAAAAATTTCTCCAAAATCATTTCTTAATATATTTTGAAGTTCATGAAACTAATCAGGTTTTCAAGCACCTAAGAGGGCTTGTTGCAGTAGCTGCAATTAGCTTCACCAAAACATCAAGCAAATTACACTTGTATGTGTTCACCATGTTGTTTTTCTTGACCTTAAAGGCCACCATGTGAACTGCCTCCTGGGCATTGTGGTCCCTTGAAATGATCTTGGTGAAAGAAAACCAACTTGGTTATAGTTAATCAATTTAATTAACTCCTATTCAGAGACTAGATTTACTATTCTCTCTCTCAGGTCCAACTATGATTCCTTCAATGACTGTAAAATCTAAATAGATTAGTGTTTTATCTCCTATTTAGAAGAATCTAAAAGTAAATCACTGCCACTGAAAAGCAGATGACCTGGGTTCTAGTCCTAGGTATCTAATAGTTAATTGTGCAACTCTGTCTTTAAACCTTCCTGCATCATGTAAATGGGTGGGTTGGACAAGAAATGTTTAAAGTCCCTCCTAGCTATGAAGTTTTAATCCATAACTTAAATTGTTGTCACTTTCTAGTCCAGATTAGATGAAAGAACATTAGATATAGACTCAGGTTCCACATTACTGACAGCGGCACTTATAATTTCTCTGTTAAAATCTATGGCATGACATAGGGCCCTATCAAATTAAATTGGCATTTCTTCATGTTCCATCTGCTACCGAAATGTACTGTTTGTATTTCAGACAACAGAGTGGTCAAAGAACAACAGATTTTCTTGGCACTTTCTGTACATATTGCATGTAGACAAGTATGGTGCTATCCCTAGAAAATATTGCAAATAATAGCTGTCAATTCCTTAGCAACTAATAACACGTTATTAAAAACAAACACAACCTCTCATCTATAAGTTCCACCTCATAAAATGTGTCTTTCGAGTCTTTTGGTTCCCATATGTGTAGCTCCACAATATTTTTGCTGCAGAATGCAAAAATTACGTAGATCACTAAATAAAATCCACAGATAATCTCAAAATCTTCTCTTAGCCAATTGTTCAATCTCTTCCACTGCTAAGCTTTTTGCCAGAGATACTGGCAGATAACACAGTCCACTGGTTTGAGTTTCATATAATTTTCCAGACACGCTTGCTTTTTAATGGCCCATACAAACAAGAGATTCCCCTCGATTCTAAATCTTTGAGAAGTTGACCAACAGGCATGAAATGTTTAATCTCTCTACTGCTAGTTAATACATTCCTTTTAAATTGTTGAGTGGGGTTCCTTTTTATCCCTGATTTAAACCTATCTATCTTTAACTACTTGTATAATTCCCAATTCTTCTCTGTCTTACAATACTGCGTTACATTTCTCTGAATGTAGGTTTAATTATTATTTTTCTGTATTCTTTATTGTATTACATTTTAATTCTCCAAGAATTCAGTTGATAGCGTTTGTGAACTTATTTTGAAAAACAAGTGAAAGCAAAGATGATTCCTCCAAAACATAGCAGCCAAAAGAAAATTCAAAAAGCTTGAAAATTTTATGAAGCAATTAATATCAACTGACATGATGTCTTCTATTAAATTCAAAGACCCTTAGGATTGAGAGAATCCAAACTTCTTTAAAAAAAACCAAAACCCAGAGAGAAGCTAAGTGACTTGCCCAAAACGATACAACAAACTAAATACATTTATACATTTATTACTTATACATACAATTACAAATTATCACCAGGGCTGGTTCTTTTCATAGTTGAAAATAGCCCCATGAAGTCTGTTCCCAAAACCTGTGCAAGTAGCCACAGTGGCAAAATCCCATATCTGAAGTCTTTCCTTTAGATCGAAGAAATTCTTGGGTAAATGCAATTGGCATCAGGGAAAATGGGACAGAATAAGATAGGAAAATACTCCAGAGTATTAGGTTCTAAGTTGGAAAGCTAAAAAATTACACATGATCAAAATGACTCTTGAAATCACCCATACAGCTAAGTCACCTACAGAATCCAATACGTGTCTTTATTCACTGGGAACACACGTGTGTCTTAATGTGTCCAACATAGCCAGGCTTTCCTTTAGCAACAGAACGGACCAGTTTCTTCTGTTTATTATCAGATGAAGTAGCTGGCTGGAATTAAAAGAATAGGTTGTTCCAAAAACACATATCTTTAAATACTGGACTAGCACTCAGTGAGGGTAAGATGCTCACCCTTAAAGAGGCACTCAGGAAGTAAACAGAAAACCAGAGTCTTGTCTTCCAGGCTATCCTTATTAAGGAGCCTACTCTCCCTGCATATGTCCTATGCAGCTGGCCTCATGCAGTAAATGACTATTTACCTGTCATTTTTCTCCCACTCCCTTCTTGATTTTGCCCAGAAGTACAGGTGAATTTGTGGTAGTTAATGTGTACAGGATCCAATGTCACCATATTGCCTTATTTCCATATTTGCTTACAGATGTAATGATCTAGGTTGGACACTGAATGTGCAAATATTGCAGGGGGAGGTAAAGTCCAGATACAGGGCAGGGCAGGTACAGTGAAGAGTCCTAAAGCAGCCTAAGTTCTCCTGGGTGTGTGTAAGGAGGGAGGGTTTGAAGGAAATAGAGAGAAGGTCCCCTCCTGTGGGACAGAATTAGTTCCAAAAATCATTTTCACTATGTTCATAATTTTTCCTTGGATTGGATTTGATAGACACACTGCAACACATCTCATTTGATTTTTAATCAATGTAGAGAGCTTATACACTCAAGCATACAAGTAACCACATAACTACAGAATTCAAACACTAGAAGAAATTCATCAAGAGAATATTTTTCAAATAAGGACTTGATCATGAGCAAATGACCTTAGAGAAGAGATAACCAAACCAGCACTTGGAAATGCATTTGCCAATTAGTGCTCCAGGCAGCAGAAAAGCCAGACTGTCACCCCTCGAAGACCTGCCACAAAGAGCCATGTGGAAAAACTGCACAGAGAAATGGTGATTGTGAACAAGAGTACTGCCTTAGAATGAAAGGTTTTAGGCTGTGTTGGGCTCATTAAGAAAAGAAAGGTTACCCTCATTAGAAAGTTTACCTGGCTCTGATGAAATAGTCACTTCTCTGCTAATACAACTTCCACATCAACTTAACATGTTCCTGTAAGTATAAATTATCTTAATTCCAGGCAGATAAAAATCTGTGTTTCCTGAACAATGTTTAGCTTAACTCCTTTATAATGGTCAGCCTACAGGAAACTAAGTCCCTGAGCTTGCACATTGTATTTGCTGTCCGTGGCCATGATGAGTTGGTCCGGATTCACACTGGGTGATACAGGATTCCCGCCCAGGGTCCTCTCACAGGACTTCAGGCATTTTCACAACTTGACCACACAAAAGAACACTCACGCTGCTCCTGCCTTGCCCAAGGCAAGTACGGTAATACCTTTTCCAGCGGCCCTTTCGTATGATTGTATATAGACAAACACAGGTGTCTACGTAACAATCTTTATGAACTTTGCATTGAATATGCCAAAGAATAGCAGATATCCCAACACACCATCCATTGTCTCTGTCATGAAAGCTACCTCTGAGAGACCACAAAAAGGAGGAAAAAAACCCCCACGAACATACGTGTTTATTAAACACTTCAGCAGCAAAACAAAATACTTGTATTAGAGAAAAAAAAATTATTTTTTAAACCACAAGACACGGAAAATAAAAATGACTAATCAACCTTAATTAGGTTTCCTTCATTAGCTGACAATGTAAACGGATTGAAACTACTACTCAAATAGCCAAACCTTCATTTTACATGCAAGTGGCTCCCGGCAAATGATAAAGCAATATTCCCATGTGGGTGTGAAAGATGGCACTGAATACTGGCCCATCATAAAGGAGGAGTCAGATTCCACTAGTCACTGTTGGTTTAACTGCCAGGCTTTTGGGGAGCTATTTTATAAAAGGAGGACTCGCCCTAATAAATTAACAAATAGTGAGCAGTGTAAATGTCTGAAATAGCCTGCACTCGATGAGGCTTTAGACCACTTGGTGTTCAGACTTTACAAAAGACTCCGTAAAAAAAAAATTATGTTGTGACAATGGTATTTAAAATGGATAATGATGATGATGATAACTGGGCAGGATCTACCCTTGCTGGCTGCCTCCCCGTGTAAACTGCCCAGCCGAAGGTGGTTAAGTTAAAGCCAGTGCTCTCCTTACTGGAGGTGTGGGCAGGCAGTGGGGGAAGTCACCCGGTTTCCAGCTCCCTGTGGGTTTGACGGGACCAGGACTGGAACTGGGGACTGGCTTGTGAGAAGCCCAGGGTAGCTCAGCCAGGGCTCGAGCTGTCCCTCACTACCTTCCTCCAACGCAGACACCAAGTTAGCAACGCAACTCCAAGAGCACAATGACAAGAAGGCACACAAAAGGAGCCAGGCAGCCGCTCCCATCCTTACCTTTGACTTGACTTTCATACTCGGCTATGATCTCTTTGTCCTTTTTGAATCTGCTCGGGGTGGACATTATCCAGCTGTTCCGGGTTTGCTTTCAACGGGCAAGTTCTGTTCAGTGGTCACAAACCGGTCTCCTTGGAGAGGCAGAGAGTTGTACTCCCACACGCCGGGAACCCTGAGGCAGCACCGACAGGAGGGAAGGGAGGAGGGAGAGAAGGAGGAGGAAGACGAGGAGGAGGAAAAAAGGAACGAGCAGAGAACTAGATTAACCCGGGCGCTGGCACCATACTCTCGGGCTTGAGCCGCCGTCGCTGATCCAGAGGGGAGCCCGGGGGTCGGGGCCCCGAGAGGCCAGACGCGCAGGCAAACTCCAGCGAGGGGGGGCGGGGGCGTCTCCCTGCCCACCTCGCCCGGGGCCGGCCACTTCCTCTACGACCGCTGGGCGGACGCGGGGCTCGCGCCGACGCTCCGCACCATTGTTAAAGACCCGCACCCGGCGCCCGGGGCAGTGCCAGCTGAGGAGGGCAGGCTCTGGGGAACGCGCCCAGCTCGGGCGCCGCGACCCTCCCTTCCTGCCTCCAGCCGCCGGCTCCGGCGCTCAATGGTCCCGCCCGGGCTGGGGATGCTGCTGCCACGGCGCCGTTCTTCTGCCTGCGAACACTGCTGCTACAGTCCGGGCAGGCAAAAGGAATCGCAATCCTAACGCGAGTCCCCGCTGTTGGCCAGGAGGGTGGCTGCAGCGACGTTCAAACGCGCCCTGGGCGCAGCCCAAGCGGAGTTTAGGTCTCCAGAGCCGGCGCCGCTAGGGGCCTCTGCCTCCTTGGCCACTGTGCGCTGAGGCTGCCTCTTTCTCCTCGTCCCCCTTTCTACTGCTGCCCCCAGGAGGTGGCAGGTGACATGTACACTCGCACACGAACCAGGGGAGCCGCGCCCCCGGCGGCCGCAAAGTTGTCCGTGCGCGCGCGGCTAGTGGCTCGCGGGCGCAGAGCGAGCGTTCCGCGGGTGGTGGCGGCCAGGGCTGCAGCTCCGGGCTCGGCTCGGCGGGGCAGGGCTGGCGGGAGGGGACGGCGCTCTTGCCCGTGCCCTTCTCCGCCCTCGCCACCGCCCCTGCTCTGTGAGGAAACGCCGGGCTCGTCCGGGAAGATGGATGCCTCTTGTGGCCAACCGCAGCCCGGCCCCGCGCGCCGAGCCCAGGCGGCTGTGGGCGGTGCCCCCAGCGCCTGCCTCCGCTGGGGTCTGCTCCACCGTTGGCGCGGCTCACACTCCAGCAGCTAGAAAACCCTTCCCTACCCGGGGACCGTCTTCGGGAGAGGAGCGGGGGTGTGGTGGGGATCTGGCGGGTCTCTTTCCAGAATCCAGTGGGACAGTCTAGAGTTGGATGTCTCCGTGACAGAAAGGGATGTGACTCCAAGATGTTGGACCCCAGTAGGAAAACTGAACACTGAATCGTGAATGACCTGGCTGCTAAAAATCGAAGAGGGAGAGGGAAGCTCTTCAATCGAGACAGAAAAACGCCCATCTTAAACACTATATCCTCTCTATCCTAGAAGTAGCTCCGGGAGCTGGGATGGTGGGAACAGGTCACAATGAGTATGTTGCCTTTTTTGTTTGTTTGTTTTTTTAATTAACTAAACTCCAGGTTTTATTCGGATTTTACCAGTTTTTCCACTAGTGTCGTTTTTCTGTTCCAAGATCCAGTACAGGCTACCACATTGCATTTAGTACTCTTTATGTGTTTTGTTTGGTTTTTTTTGTTTTGTTTTTTGAGATAGAGTCTCCCTCTGTTGTTGCCCTGGCTAGAGTACCATGGCGCCAGCCTAGCTCACAACAACCTCAAACTCCTGGCCTCAAGCAATCCGACTGCCTCAGCCTCCTGAGTAGCTGGGACTACAGGCATGTGCCACCATGCCCGGCTGATTTTTTCTATTTTTAGTAGAGACTGGGTCTCACTCTTGCTCAGGCTGGTCCTGAACTCCTGACCTCAAGCGATCCTCCTTCTTAGGCCTCCCAGAGTGCTAGGATTACAGGTGTGAGCCACCGCGCACGGCCCCCCTTACGTTTTTAATATGCACCTTGGACAAGATCTGTCGCCTCTAGCCTCTTTATGAACAATATGATGAAGACTTTACCTTGTCATCTTCCCATGTGGTTCACATGTTATTTCAGTTAAGTACTTTAAATCCATCTTCCCTAGCTTTTTGAACGACAAGTTTACTGCTTGGGATATTTCTTGGCTTCTATCAAATCATTTCTCAAATATTATGGGCCTGATTTATCAAAATCATGTGTCCAAAGGCGTGTCCAGTATCCAAATATTTTCCCTACAAGATCTAAAGAAAGTAGGCACTTTTAGACTTAGATCATGCGTTCATGTATCCAGTGATCAACTTTCCAGTTTTGACTAGGGGCCAACCACCAAGCCAAGAACTCGGAATTAGGAGATTAGGACCCTGCCCTGAAGGATCTCACAGTCTATTGTTGTATAAATAGATAATTAATACAATAATGCTGTAAGTGAGAGAAATACTCCTGGCCTTGGGAGACCCGAGGCAGGAAAAACATACTGCATAAGAGGTTTGGGGAGTAACAGTTTGCAGAGGAGTGGTATTTGAGCTGGATTTAAAGGATGAATAATAAGTAGCTGACTACCTTAGGGAGGGAAAGGGATACATTTCAGGGAAAAGGAGGAGCATCATACCCTGGGGGTATTGCAAATAGAGTTACAAGATATCTTCCACTAAAATACCAGATCCCTGATAGATGGTGAAAGATAATTTTTAAAAATTGTAGTATATGTATATACATGTGTCAACTGATAGTGTGTGGATATTGTTTCTAATTGCACAGCTTTTTTAAAATTAAATTTTAGCAAGTCTTTTTACTTTATAACAATAGAATATAAGGTAAAGGAGAAACATCAAAAAAAAATTTTAAGTTTTTTTTTCATCTCACTACCCCGGAGGTTATACTATGGCACCCCTGGCTGCCCTAATTCCACGTGTAATTTCATGTCTAAGGTAAGAAGGTATGGTGAAGAGGTGCCAAGCCAGAAAGTCCAAAGCAGAGGCTGGAAAGGAAAGTCAGGGCCAGCTGGGAGAGGCCTCCTGTGCCATGCTGAGCTCTTGGACACAGTTCTTCAGACAGCAGGGAGCCTTTTAAGTAGAGAAGTGTCATGATCAGATTTGTGTTTTATAAAGATAACTGTTGGCAGAGTAGAAGGCTGGTTTAGCCATGAGGAAAGTGAGAAACCAGAGACAGGCAGCCCACTTAGGTGATAATCATAGTCAAATTTAAATGGGATTCATTCAAATCTAAATGTGATTCATATGCATGGTGCTATTGGGATTTATTGCATATGTGCACCTGGGAAGTACAACTTGGCAGCAGAGATTACAGCCCCTAGGAATGAATTGTTGGCTGATTCTATATGTGAACCAATATGGTGCAAGCAAACCCCAGAGGTGAATCCTGGCTCTGTTGCTTCCTGAGGGATCTGGTAAAAATTACTTCACCTCTTTAGACCTTAGTTTCCTCATCTGTAAAGTGGGTTAATGCCTAGCTCCTGGAGATGTTATAAGAACTTACTAAAATAATCCCTTTAAAAGGCTTACAAGCCATTGTACTTACTCAGTGAATGTTAGTTATCTTTATTATTATTATCTGTTTTTATTTTCCTTGAGAGAAAACTATCTAAAAATAAGTGATAATTTTAATTATTTTTAACTTCATCATGGTGTCCAATAAATGGTCAGTAAAAATGTGTTGAATATTAATGCCTTCATATTAGTAAGCCACCATTTTATTGTTGAAGATTGGGTGCTTCCCACTAAGGTAAGCATTTTACATACATCCTCACAAGAACCCTACAAGGTAGATACCACTGTCCTCATTTTACAGATGGGAATCTGGAGGCTCAGAAAGTTTAGCAAATGTCTGGCCCAGCAGGGCCAGACTTCTGGTCCATTTCCGACTCCTCCAAAGTGGGTGCCCTTTCCAATTTTCCATTCTGCTTCCTATGAACTTATGATTCCTTTCAACTTGTGAAGCAGGTTCAAATACAGTAAAATGTGTGACTGATTCATGGTTTTCTGTTGATGGATCTCTTTTCTGATGCAGCCATTCAGTGTGATTGACTAATCATTCTTTTCATAGTTCTCTTTTTTCAGATTCTCCTTGTCTTTCCCATATTTAAGGAGAGCCCACTTCACTTCACAAAGTGGGATATGGAGAACGCCTGTGACTTAAAATCCAAAAAACCAGGGTGACGCAAATTTGGGTAACAGGCAACCCTGAGTCTGGTTCATACACCAATTCTCTGTGATTTTGCTCCACCTTGTGGTAGCTGTGTGTTTTCTTAGCTATAAAACAGAAAGGACCCTTTGTCCACTAAAGCCTGCCTCTCCCCTGCCACACTCCCACTCTTCAGGGACAAGTTGTGAGAAATTTGGAGTGCTTCATGGTTGGGGTTCCTGTTACATATGAATCCACCCTGTTATCTAGCATTGTACTTCCAAGTCCACCCAAATTCCCATGAGTAGAAGTTAATTTACCACAAGACCATATACCCTGGGAATAAGTAAGAGTATGCACTAGGGTCCTTGCATGCACAAAATATTGATAGATTATCCACTTTAGCCCAGTGGTAAATAATTTAAATCATTTTTTAAAAATTAAACACTGGCAGGGTGCTCAATCCCAGCACGCTGGGAGGCTGAGGCAGGAGGATTACTTGAGGCCAGGAGTTTGAGACCAGCCTGGGCAACCTATCAAGACCCTGTCTCTACAAAAAAATTTGAAAAAATTAACTAGGCATGGTAGCATGCTCCAGTAGTCCCAGCTACTTGGGAGGCTAAGGCAGGAGAATCATTTGAGCCCAGGAGTGTGAGGTTGCAGCGAGCTATGATGATGCCACTGCACTCTAGCCTGGGTGATAGAGCAAGACCCTGTCTAAATAAACAAACAAATAAAGAAATAAATATAAAAACAAAACAAAATAAAAAATTAAACACAAATATATTAAAGAGTCAATGCCAAATTCACATGGTTTTTTTTTAGCTACAGTTTTATTTT